CATAGTATTCCATTGTTTGTATGTACCACAGTGTGGTTATCCATTCCTCACTTGATGGACACTTAGGTTATTTCCATCTCTTTGCTGTTGTGAATAGAGCTGTGATGAACATGGGTGTGGACATATATTTGTGTCCTGCCTCTCAATTCTTTAGGATATATACCTAATAATGGTATTCTTGAATCAAATGATATTTCTAGTTCCAACTTTTTAATGTATCACTATACCACTTTCCACTGTGCTTGTATCATTTATCAGCCCCACCAGCAGTGCATGAGAGTCCCACAATCTTTCCACATCCTCATCAGCATTTGTTATTCTCTGTCTTGTTGAACTTTGCTATTAATGCTGGTGTGAGATGGTATCTCAAGGTTGTTTTGATTTGCATCTCTCTAATGACTAAGGATCATGAACATTTCTTTGTGTATTTGTTGGCTGCCTGAATATCTTTTTGGTGGAGTATTTGTTCATGTCTTCTGCCCATTTTTTAATTGGGATGTTTATCTGTTTGTTTTTGAGGTGTTGGACTTTTCTATAAATTTTAGAGTTAATCCTTTGTCCAATATGTCATTGTTGAATATTTTTTCTCATTCTGTATGTTCTCTTTTTACTCTTTTAGAGAACTCTTTTGATACATTAAGTACTTAATTTTAAGATGGTCCCCATCATCTAGTTTATCTTCTGCTGTTTGTGCATCTTGGGTTATGCTTGATGATCTATTTATGCCATAAATTAGAGCCCCTATGTTTGCCCTTATTTTATTTATTTATTTATTTATTTTGATTACCTTTAAAGTTTTAGGTTTCACATTTAAGTCTTTGATCCATCTGGAGTTAGTTTTTGTGTATGGTGTGAAGTATGGATCTTTTTTCATTTCTCTGCAAATGCATATCCAGTTTTACTAGCACCTTTTGTGAAAGCAACTGTCTCTTCCCCATTTAATGATTTTGACCCTTGATCAGCTGACCATAGGTGGATGGATCTATTTCTGGGTTCTCAATTCTGTTCCATTGGTCTATGTGTCTGTCATTGTACTAATACCAGGCTATTTTGATAACTGTGGCTGTGTAGTAGGTTTTGAGTTATGGGAGTGTGACCTCCTACTTTGTTCTTCTTTTTCAATAGTGCTATGATTAACCAATGTATTTTTCCCTTTCCATATAAAATTCAACAAAAAAGAAAAAAACAAACTCACTGTCATCAAGTTGAATGCAACTCAGTGACCCATCCTTGGGTTTCCAAGGTGTTATCACAACAGGAGTAGATTTCCCAACCTTCCTTACAAGGAGTAGTTGTTGAGCTGACAGACTTCTGGTTAGCAGTCATATAACTTAGGCACTATGCCACCAGTGCTCCTTGTCTTTAAAGAAAATGGATGGAATCTGATTTGGGATTGCATTGAGTGTATAGATTGCTTTAGGTAGTATTGATATTTTCACAGTGTTCAATCTTCCTATCCATGAGAATAGTATGTTCTTCCATTTATGTAGATCATTATAGTTTCTTGAAGTAGTGTTTTGTAGTTTTCTTTGTATAGGTCTTTTGTATTCCTGGTAAGATTTATGTCTACATATCTTATCTTTTGGGTAGCTATTGTAAATGGTATTGATTTCTTAATTTCCTTTTCAGTAATCTCTTTGCTGGTGTAGAAGAATTTAACTGATTTTTGTATGTTGATCTTGTACCTTGTCACTATGGTAAATCTCTCAATTAGTTCTACCACATTTTTTGCTGAATCTCTTGTGTTTTCTATATATAGGATCATATCATCTAAAATAGGGATCATTTTACTTCTTCCCTTTTTTATTTCTGTTGGTTCTGTTGTGATATCACCCCTTTCATTTCTTACTCATGTTCTTTGCATCATTTCCTTTTCTTTTGTTAAGTTTGCACAGTGGTTTGTTGATTGTATTTACCTTTCCAAAGTACCAACTTCTAATCTTATTGATTTTTTTCTATTGTCTCTCTGTTTTCTGTTTACTTCTTCCCTACCAATTTGGATGCCTTTGATTTCCCTTTCTTCCTTATTGCCCTGGCTAAGATTTCCAATACAATGTTGGATAGAAGTGGAGATAGACAACATCTTGTCTGCTTCCTGTTTGCAAGTAAAATGGTTTCAGTCTTTGTTCATGTTTTTGGTTTTTATTGGTTTAGCATATATGCCCTTTATTATGTTGAGGAATTTCCCTTCTATTCTTATTTTTCTGAGAAGTTTTATCAGGAATATGTGTTGCATTTTATCAAATGCCTTTTCTGCATTGATTGATATGATCGTGTGGTTCTTTTCTTCTATTTTTACTTAAGTAATGGATTAAGCTGATTGATTTCCTAATGTTGAACCATCCTTGCATACCTGGTATGAATCCCACTTGGTCATGATGTATCTTTTTTTTTTTTTTTTTGATATGTTGTTGGAATCTATTGACTAGGATCTTGTTGAAGATTTTTGCATCTATATTCATGAGGGATATTTGTCTGTAGTTTTCCTTTCTGGTGGTTTCTTTGTGTGTTTTTGGTATCAGGGTTATGCTTGATTCATAAAATGAATTTGGGAGGATTTCATTCTTTTCTATGTTCTGGAATAGTTTTAGTAGGATTGGTGTCAACTCTTCTCTAAATTATTGGTAGAATTCTCCAATGAAACCATCCAGACCAGTACTTTTTTTCACTGGTAATTTTTTTATGACCTTTTCAGTTTCTTCCTTTCTTATGGGTCTATTCAAATTTTGTACTTTAGTCTATGTTAGTTTAGGTAAGTAGTATGTTTCTCAAAATTGTTAATTTATCTAGGTTTTCAAATTTGTTGGAGTACAGTTCTTCATAGTATGTTCACATTATCCTTTTTTATTTCTGCTGCTTCTGTTGTGATATCACCCCTTTCATTTCTTATTCATGTTATTTGCATCATTTCCTTTCCTTTTGTTAAGTTTGCCCAGTGGTTTGTTGATTTTATTAATCTTTTCAAAGAACCAACTTCTAATCTTGTTGATTTTTTTCTATTGTCTCTCTATTTTCTGTTTCATTTATATTTGCTTGAATATTTTATTAGTTCTTTTCTTCTGGTGACTGTAGGCTTTTTTTTTTTTTTAACTCTTTTTTTTTTTAGTTTTTGAAGATATTGGGTTAAAAAGTTGATTTTATTTATTTATTTTTTATGGAATTTTGTCTAACTCAGTGGGAGACAGCAAGTGTTCCAACACAACACAAACATACCTACCCCTCCTGCAGCCCTACCTACTGAGTGAGGGCCACCACTTGTTTTTGTCCCAACTCACCAAAGATAGACAGCAGCCAATACCAGCTAAACTCACCCTCAACTGCTTTTCAAGAACAGCTAACAGAAATCTGTGCACACACCCTCATTCTCTATCACACCTACCAGCAACCAATTCATGTTTGTCAATAATTACACTCAATGTTAATGGGTTAAATGCACTACTCAAGAGATGGAGTGTTTCAGACTGGATAAGAAATCTTGATCCATCAATATTTTGTCTCCAAAGACTCACCTTAGACACAAGCACAAATAAAGACTACTAATCAAAGGTTCAAACCCACCAGCCACTCCTTGGAAGGAAGATGGGGCAATCTACTTCTGTAGTGATACTTCCTCGGAAACCCAAGGAGGGGTCACTATGAGTCGGGTCCGACTCGATGGCACATAACAACAACAACAACAAATTGAAGGTTGGAAAAAGATACACCATGCAAATGGCAATCAAAAGAGAGCAAGAGAGACACTATTAATTTCTGATAAAATAGACTTTAAGACAAAAATAACCATAAGATATTGACAATATAGTGGCTCTCATCCTCTGCCTTTCATTTGCTTGTAAGGTATAAAAAGCCAACTAGCTTTTTAGTCCAAAATGGGATACTAAGTGGAACTCCTCATATATTTGAATTCTCATAATCTAAATACACATGTATACACCATGCATTGACTATTATGTTTGAAACAATATACTGTCTCACTTAAGAAGAAGTATAGACTCTTT